TCCTTCTCTTGAGTCAAATTCCTTCGCTTTTGCTGGACAGGCTTCTTTCCTTCCTCGACGGCCAATCGATGCGCCGCCACATCTGGCGATACTCCCGGCATGTCCTGGGGGCTCCAAGCGAATAGCTCCCCGAATTCTCGCAACAACTTGATCAAAGGCGCCCTCATGTGCTCAGGAGCCTGTGCTGACACTCGTACCTGCCTGTCCGGGCGCCCTTCTTCGATCGGTACCCTGAACTCATCATCCATAGCCTCTGCTCTAGGCGCCTCCTCCGGCCGAATGTCTATGTTGTTCACTCGGTGCCTCCGCACGCCCTTCCTTCTTCCTTCCTCTTCTCGCGCATAGCGGGGGGCGCCTTCTCCCCGTGAAATTCCTATGCCTTGTGGGGCGACGAACTTCAACGTTTGGTGGCAAGTCGAGGCTACCCCATTGAATAACGCCAACAGGGGCCTTCCCAATATGACGTTGTATGGCGAGGGGCAATCCACTATCCCAAACTCCACGGCATGCGTCACTCGATGCACTTCGTCGCCCAATGTTACCGGGAGGCGCACGCGCCCGATCACATGGGCAGGCGCCCCCGAAAACCCTATCAGCACCGAATCAGAGGGGCTTACCAATTCCGGCGCCAGCTGCATGCGCTCGAACGTGCTTTTGAACAAAACATCCATCGAACTTCCCGTATCCACCAACATCCTCTTGACCTTGCACCCTGCAATGATTCCCTGTATCTCCAAAGCTTCCTCTGAGGGTACTTGACACGCTTCATCGGCCTCCTGATTAAAGCATATTTGCACAGCCGCCTTCGCCTCCACAGAGGCAGCTCGGAGGCGCCTAGACCTGTCCAACTTGTCCCGCAAATCGACGGTTCCGGTTATGGATTCCACCGTGAGTCTAACCCGGTTTGGTCCCCCTTCCTGATTCAGCTCAAACGGAGGCGGGGGTATTTCAAGTGGAGGAGGGAGGGTCTCAAGCGCAGGGAGATTACCAGGCGCCTGTTGCATGACGGGAAGATTAGGCGCTTTTGGTTCAGTTACCATAGCAGGCACTGGCCTCGTCTCTCTTGCGAAATACGCGCGGTGAGTCCTTTCTTCCGTCTTTCTTATGAAGTCGTTGAGCATTCCTCGGTCGGCTAACGTCTGCAACTCCGATTTCAGTTGGTAGCAATCGGCCGTATGATGCCCCTTATCCCGATGAAAGTCACAATATCGATCAAGGTTCCGCTCGTTTGGTTGCCCACGCATAGGTCCCAGCCAACGCACATGGTATCCCCTGTCCTTCACGTATTGCAGAATGTTTTTCAGAGAGTCGTTATATTCTGTGAAATTTCCCGCACTCCTGGGTGGTGGGCGCTGACTCTCCATCCTCCTTTGCGGCGCGTTGTTCATAATGAATGGCTTCGGCGCCTGGCGCACCTCCACTTCTTCCCTACCAACACGCCTCTTCTCTGCCCTCCTCGCGGCCAACGTTTCCTCCAAGGCAATAACCTTCTGAACCCTTCGATCCAGATCTTCAGTTGACACTACAGCCCTCTTAGACAGCACCCGACACAACTCGTCACTATTCGTACACTCCTCAAGACACACTCCCAGGACTGGAGGTTGCACGTCCTTCACGGCCATGGCGACCGAAATCCAACGGTCATAGAACTCTCTAAGCGCCTCACCCTCTCTCTGCTTGATTTTAAACAAAGCGCCTATAGTCAACGTCCGCCGCTTACGGCTAGCAAACTTGGACAAGAATAGCTCTGCAAATTGCTCAAAGCACTCGATGCGCCCCTCCTCCAACTGATGATACCAATCTAAGACTACCCCTGCGAATGTCGAAGGAAACACCTTACACAACGTGGCATCCGTGCTATTGTACAATTGCATCTTTGTGAAATAGCTATTCAGATGATCTTCTGGGTCAGTGACTCCATCATAGCTGGTCAGCGGCGGGAGTGTAGTTCCCGCTGGTTCCATTAACACACTTTGCGCTAAGGGTTGTCTGATCCCAAAGCGCCTGGCCTGCCGCTTGGGCGTCCATGGGTTCTGTTCTTCCGGCGCCGGGATGGCCCATTCGCCTGGCGCCCTACACACACCAGGGCGCCTAGGTGGCGTTACCTCAGAATTGTGGCCTTCATAGCCCGGGCGCCCATACTCGCTAACCTCCGAATCATCTATGAGCCTATCCCGCTTCCTCACCGGGGGGCTGTATTCCCTTGTATCAACGCTCATTCCTCCCTCCAATTCCCTTCGAAGCATTGCTATTGCTCGGTCTTGGTCAGCAATAATCTTGAACAGCTCCCTCTTTGACAACGAATCACTCTCCATAGATGGGCGCTCACGGCTTTCGTCCTCTACGTCCATGCTCACTACCGGGCTTGCCCGCTGCTCGCTCCCCTCGTGACTGGAATTCTCCGTTTCCGCATCCTCTGCGCCTACACTACCAACATTCAAGTCTTCCATCTTCCTTAACTTGCCGAACGCCCCCTTCCTGGCGCGCCAATTGTTGAAGCCAAGACACTCTCACACCCCCGAGACTCCTCCGACTGCTCCACGCCTAGCGCTTAGACCCTACAGGACGGGCGCCTAAAGGGCTAGACCCGCCCGTTAGCACTCCAACGATCAAGTCAGAAGCAACTCTAGAGAGAGAAGTGAAGAAAGAAGTTTTAGTGTGAGAAAGCCAACCTGCTTAAATGCTACCTACCAAGTGCTATTTATACTACTCGGGCTCCTCGACCAAGCTCCGACCAACTCCTGCCACCAAGCCTTACGTCAGCCCAGCATTAAATGCCTGGTCTCCCCTGGCGCCTACGCGCCTACACGTGGCACACTGTCCGTTTTCCACGTCGGGGCGCCTAGGGGGACCACTGGCCTCGTGGCGCCCTTCCGACTTTGCCCACCTGTACTTCCTTGTCTGCGAGCCTATTTTGTCGTCATGCGCCCCTATTCCTTCATAGCCACCTAGGTCATACCCCCATAGGCCATAAATGGGCTTCAGGCCCAACAGACTCTTAACTTTCATGGGCTCCTCTCTACTACCTCAACAAGGCCCAATAGGCTTTTAACTTTCATGGGCTCCTCTCTACTACCCCAACAATTATATATAAGCAATAATAATAAGACTAACCATCCATGATTATCATCATCATTCGAGTTAATACATCATTCATCATCTCAGCACCTATTATAGTTAGCTTACAACAAACCCTTAACATAAATATTAAATACATATCAATACCACTCGTCGGGAAGTTCAAGCTCTCCTACAAAAACACTTAAACTATACATAGTTTGAGGTGGCTGTCATGGTATTGTACATAATCCTAAAGTCTAGTAGATGTCCAAAATGTTTTGGTTTAGTAAATAGGCAGGCTCATTTATTTTTTGACCCATAATGCTTTGGTTTTTTGAGCACATGGAAATAAAATAGGGAATCATGAAAGTTTGGTTTGGTTGGTTGCATGGAAGTATAAATAATTTTGTTGTATAATACTCATAACACTATTATACTCTTATGATGGGTTAAATGATCGTTATTATCATAACGAAAGTAAAAAAGATTTTATTTGTCAACTAGCTTTCATAGTTGGTGATTATAAGAGATATATAAATTTCCAGATGATTGAAAACAACCCAGGTCTTTAGGAGTTTCTTTCCTGTCTGTTGTTAACTTAGTTTTCTCTTTTAACTGTGTCTGTTGTTAACTTGGTTATTCTATCATTCATTTGCCTAATTAACTGTGAGAGATCGCTTGACTTGGCATATCACAAAGAATGGCTTCTCGAGGGTAATATATTATACTTTTTGGAGAAAGGCCTGCATTCTTTATTTGACAAATGCTGGGAGTTCTATTGCTCATAGAATTTCGACCTGATATGTTTTATCTGACATATTTGATTTATTTTGGAATGATAATTAGCACTCTTTAGGTGAGGCAAGACGATTATGACTGCTTTTCCGACTTGATTCGTTTTGGACCTATCTTATTCTCGTGTCATTTTATGTTTAAATCAGATGTAATTTTACTCAAATAATATAGTAGTTTACTTTTATTAAATAATATTTTAGCTATGATAAAGCTGTAAATAAGTAAAATTTTAATTGTTTGAATAATTTAACTGCATTTATCATGTCATAGTTTGCTTCTCGATTTTAACGAACCGGCCAAGTAAAACTCTAAACAAAATATCCAACCGGGCACAAAACAAATTATAGGATCAATCTAACACGCCACAACCTTGAACTAAATATCCAACGTGCCACAAAACGAGCATAGACAGCAAGATATACGTCCGACCAGCCCATTACCATTCCTAGCCCACGATTTAAAGCAGCCCGTCTTCCTCTTAAACAGCTTCGTTACCATTGCAAAGCCCATGCAATTCGTGCCTTTTCCAACCCAGCCCGTCGTCCTCTTAGCCGTTCACGTTGACCCATTATAGCCAACATCCATGAACCCATCGGAAGATGTGTGCATCAATATTCGGATAATTAATCTAATTATTTATGATGACAATTCTGGATCTAATTCATCCAGTCTATATGACTTGTCTGGGATGAGAAAAATTTATAAATACTCTTCCCGACTTGACTTGTCTAGCTAGTTTTATTAGTTGCTCTTTCCTTTTTAAATTTAAACCATATATAATTTTAACTAAATTATTTAAAATTTTACTCTTATTATATGATATTTTAACTAACCATAACCAAGCACATCCGTGATCCTTTATCGAACTCCGCGCAAACAAATTCCAAAATCAAAGCCCTACCTTTGCCGGCATAAGTAAATTAAAGAAATAGGGTCTAGTAGTTAGAAACCTCCGGCCGCCGATGTAGACTGTCGTGGACGAAGCCCACCCCTCCAAATTCGTTGACAAAAATAAAGAATCAGTAGCTGTCGCGTTTGTAAAATTAATGACGGAGATGCTCTCTTGCCGCTCAATAAGCAGACCAAGCATTGAAACACACTCCTCGAAAAAAACCCCCGAAAAAAATAGCAAAAAAACTCTGAATATGAACGACCCTCAATCCTACCCGCCGGTCTTCCGCCGCCGCCGACAAACCAGCAACGGAACCATCCACGTCGACGAGGGTGGCGGTGGCGGTGGAAAGCCCGAAGAAGCAGTAACCACCCAACACAAATCACCTCACCTCGAGGCGGCGGTGCCGGTAATAGATCTGGAGCGGCCGGACGTGGGGAAGCTCCGGGAAGCGGGCCGGGATTGGGGGTTTTTCCGGTTGGTGAACCATGGTGTCCCCGAACCGCTTCTGGAGCAGCTCAAGACTCACGCCGCCGATTTCTTCGCCCAGCCCTTCGACTCCAAACAGGCTCTGTTCTCCTCCGGCGGCGATGGAACGGCGTCCTACTTCTGGGGCACGCCCATTCTGAACTCGTCCGGTCGGACCCTGGATAAGTCGGCCCAGGAGATCAATTGGGTTGAGGCCATTAATCTCCCTCTCTCTTCCTCTCAACTTCCTGCAACTTGTCATCATCCATCGCTTCAATCCTTCAGGTACCTTCTTTTTCTTTTTTGCCGGCTAGAATCGAAAAATCGTACCGCAGGTTGTACTGAAAAAGTTGGAAGTAAGATAGTTTATGCTAAAATTGTGGTTTAACGGTGGTTCAACAGTTTCATACATATCGGTTTCGCTTCCGTTTTTTTTCCCCATATGTCGCCACTACGGTACGGTTTTTCAATCCATGCTTTAGTATTGTGCATATATGCAATTTGGATAACTCATTCATGAACACACACTAGCTAGCTATTGAACCTCTACCAACAACACGAGTTAACACGAATTATTATTATCAACCGATTCTTGGCAGTGTGATATAAACTTCTTGAATTATTCGAAACTGTATATGCAACTAGTTTTCATGTATATATTACTAAAATGGGTCATTTCCATAAGGTCAAGACTATAAAGGCAATGGATGGCTTGGCTTTGTAGGTTGAAATTTGAATGTACAATTTTACTGTACTAACTAACTTATGAATAATTTTTGCTCCAAAAAAAACTAATGAATCATTTTACTGTTACCATGCATGCATTAGGATATTGTCTTGAGTCATTAGTGATGAACTAGCGATGTATGTAGACGTCTAGGCATTTTTGAAAGAACAAATTAAAGGAACAAAGCTGGCGATTCACGACCACGTTGGGTGTTTAAGGGTCGCGAAAAAGGAGATTCTTTTGTTTGCGGTGTCTGTGTAGTTCGTACAAAGGCCGTATCGTGACAGGAAATCGATTCCCCCATCTGTCCATTTGTCGAGGATTAATGTTTCGGCTTAAGTCTTAAATGTGCAAAGTGGTTTCTTGTCCGAATTCTCAAGAAAAATGAGTGTCGTTATTGGCCGGATTTGGATGGAAAAAGTAGAATTTTGTCTAGTTATTTAAAGAACTAGTTTACGAATGGACTCGTTAGTACACGATCGAGGGTGAACCAGTTTACAATGTCAGACACGTGAGCTAGCTAGACTAATTAAGTGGTTTTGTTGAGTTTAGTTCTTGAGTTGCTTGATAATGTAGATTATGAAAGTGTAGTCACTTATTTTGTAAATTAGTTATTATCTTTTTTGTATTTTTCGTTGAGATTACGATATTACAGTATTTTTAGCAACAACAAAAAAAATTATCAAGCTCATTTCATAAGGAGCCTAGGTCGTGCTTAACTCGATAAACATGAATTCTTTTTATAGCTCAAATAAACTTGTCATAGAAAATTACTTCTAGTCTGAACAAAAATTAATAAACCGAGTTTAACTTGAGCTAGGCAAATATTGTACTCCCTTACGCCTAGTGTTTGAGCTTAGCTGATTGGGCCCCCAATTATTGGCCTGAGGCTTTAATATGGGCTTATTCGATAAATTGATAAGTACGCTCCACCTACATTTTTGCTTTTTTAATACGTCAGACGACTAATTGTTCTTGCGCAACGAACCTTTTTCTTCTAGAACGCTGGTGGGAGAGTACGGGAAACACATGGGCCGAATCTCGAGGACGGTGGCGGACGCAATGGGAAAGCTTGCGAGTTTGGAGTGCGGCGATTACGTGTCAGAACCCACCGGCATCATCCGAGTTTACCGTTACCCGCAGGTTCCACCTCAGCAGCCGGCCGACGGTGACGGCAACAATAACAAAGTTGTCGCCGAGCAGGAGACGTCGCCGGCGCCGTTGGGGATGCAAGCCCACACGGACAGTTCAGTGGTCTCGATAGTGCTGCAGGACGACCAAGTGAGTGGCCTCGAATTCCTGAAGAATGATGTCTGGGTGCCCCTCGAACCGGTCCCCAACACCCTCGTCGTCAATATCGGTGACATGATGCAGGTAAATCGATAATGTAAGAAAGTAAAAAAATATATATATATAATTTTTTTGGATTCACTAATACGATTTGTGTTAGCTAATTTACGAACACCCAGACCCATGACTAGATAATCTGTTTTCAAATTATAGTAGTTTCTTTTGTGGGTTTTGCAGGCGATTAGCGACGATGAATTTAGGAGCGTGAAGCATAGGGTGAAGGTGAAGAAGTGCAAGGAAGACAGAATATCAATATGCTACTTCGTGTTCCCTGGAGAAGGGCAGATAATGGAGAGCTCCAAGTACAAGCCCTTTACTTACAGAGAGTTCCAGCAACAAGTGCAGGAGGACATCAAGACGCTGGGATTTAAGGTCGGGCTGGAGAGGTTCAAACGTTTGCCGGTTGATCCACCGGCTACGAAGCTAGCAGCTAGTTTAATTAACTAGCTCTGGTGCACTTTATATATACAACTCTTTAATTAATACGCTTTTTAATACGTACGAGACATCTTTTTATCGTGGTAATAACTAATAAGTCAAGGTTTTTCCAATCTAAGATATAATAATTAGGTAAAAGCTTTGCCGACTATATAATGTTGTTATTACATATATACCAATATTAAACAGCAGTCGGGTTGTCCTAGGGAATGGGATTCAGACACTAAGCCAAAGGGTTGGCTTATTAATATCCTTCTTTATTAATAATCCCTCTTCTCTAATTTACCCCGCCCTACCGAGTATTACCAGACCTAGGGGCCTTTGGGGTGTTCCGGGACACCACTAAATTTTGGAAAAGTGATTATACAACCCCCAATGATAATTTACGTATGGACAAAAAAAATTATAATTAATAGTCCGGGACATTATTAAATTTGAAAAAATGATTATCCTACTCTCGTTTGTAGTTTGCGTATGGGAATATAAGTGGTAGTTTGGGTAATTCAAACCCGGGATACTACTATTACTAATAAATATAATTTCCATTAGGCTACAAGCGTACAACGTTTTTGTTGTCTTATTCTAAACACCGTGTAATAGCAAAACCCTATTCTATATCGTTAATTATTTTCAAAACCTAACAATTGATATAATTACAAGCTACCCTTAATTTGTATTGATTTGATGGTTGTACTACAGGTGTTGAAAGTGTCTTTTAAACTTTGAGTTACATCAAGAGCAATTTAGAAGTCGAATATGCGTCAGTTCGCGAATGATTGTGTAGTAGGACATACTGAGACAAACTTGTTGAGCAGTGTAGACACCAACTGTAGTTTATAATTTTTTTTTCAGAATATGAAAATACATCATGGACTTTTTTAACTTGTATGAGTTGGGTATTTTTTATTTAATAATTATTTAATTTTTAATTTTACTTCATTTTTTGAAAGAGGACACCCCCATGTAAAATTCGTGGGTCCGCCACTGACTAGATCCGACCAGCGATGGACGGGTAGTATCCGACCTGCAGTTACGTAAGCGGGACATGGGTATCTACTTCCGACCCGCTCCGCCTCGTTCTTGACCCGTTATATCACAGTTTTTATAGTATATATTCATATTTCTCCTATTTTGGGTTTTTTCAATTAGTTAGGCTTGATCTTTCAATTATTTAGACTCCATTACCCGTTCTATTATGACTATTTTTCATTTATAAAGTATTTTTCACATCGTTTTATTGTAAAAGATAAATTTTGCATGTATTATTTTTAAATAACATATAAAAGTGAGTTGATACGCTACACCTCTACCGCACGAATATTACCCGCCCCAACCGATAATAGCATGGAATGATACATGAATATTGAGGTGCCCGCCCTGTCCATTGTCATCACTACGTCGACTCTTGTGTTGGGCCGCTTCACCTATACACGAGGATAGGCTCTATTAATAAGATCACCGAGGAAGTTAACCCTAATTGTCTCGTAGCTTATATGTAATGACGGAAGCATCAATGAAAAAGCAAGAGCACGTGTGGGATGCTGCGGTGTTGTTCTCTACAGAATATGATGGTGCGTCGTTGTACCAGATGAGCATCGAGGACGGTCTATTTTCACCGACACTAGCGCCTGTCATGAACCAGTTGCTCCCAATAACTCGAGTTGTTGGGAGAAGGTTATGATGGATCTTATACCACTCTCTAACACGCCCCCTCAAACGAAAGCCAACCCAAGGGCTTGAAATTTGCACAGGCCCACCATACCATGTGCTTGAAAGACAACGGTTAATATTGGGGGTCGTGGAGATTCGAACACATGACCTTTCGGTTCTAGGCTCTGATACCATGTCATAAACCAGTTGGTCCCAATAACTCGAGTTGTTGGGAGAGGTTCAATCGTGGATCATATACCACAACATTAACACGCCCCCTCAAACGAAAGCCACTCACAAAGGCTTGAAGTTTGCACAGGTCTGAAGACAAGAATACCATGTGCTTAACAAATGGGGGTCACCGGGAATCGAACACAAGACCTCTCGGTCACAGAAGGCTCTGATACCATGTCATGAACCAGTTGCTCCCAATAACTCGAGTTGTTGGGAGAAGGTTATGATGGATCTTATACCACTCTCTAACAGCGCCCACCTCAACGAAAGACTGACTGCATGCATGGGTTTCGCTTTGGTAGATGGGAGAAAATTGTATGCTTTTGGCCGCGCCGTGTCCCAGAAATAGATTCTCTAGGCTTCTTCACCTGTGATATCAGGGACAATTTTGAGCCACACGAATTCAAGAAGGCAGGAGAGTTGCTGACACCTAAGGCAACCCTTGTCGTTATTTATTTTTTTTGGAAAGAAGAAGATTAAAATAATTTCAACTGGAGTCGGTCGGCCTCCGGGCTATAATGATCCGCCTAAGGCTACTTATTGCGAGATTTTACATCTCCCTGACGTAGATGGTGCTCCATATCGATGTGAAGGTGTCGAGACCCCTTGGGATGATACAGTAAGCATTTCGGGTCTAGTCCCATTTCTTTAAGTCACTGTGAGGAGTTTTTTCCAGAAATAGCACCTTTAAAAAAAAATTACAAAACTAGCACCCTCTCAAAAATATTTACAAAACTAGCACCCTTTTTTATTGACCGCACCCTCGTGATGCGTTTTACATATAAACCGCATCCCCCAGGTGCGTTTTATATGTAAACCGCACCTGGAGGGTGCGTTCTAATCTGGTGGGCCTAAATCGCACCTTGGCAATGCGTTTTCATGTCTGGCCTACATGAAACGCATGGCCGAGGTGCGGTTTAGGCCTGACCTACCTAAACCGCACCTTAGAGATGCGATTTATTCCTCCAAGAATGAACCGCATCTGTAAGGTGCGGTTTAGCCATGTAGATCGCACCCCCCAAGTGCGGTTTACGTGCCAATTATTTTCCGACACCCGACACAGCCATGCAGAGAATTATGCACGTAGGGCTGCATGGCAGACTAAAACCGCACCCTAGAGGTGCGGTTTTCACAATTTTTTCCCCTATATAAGACTTGCCGGAAAACCTCTACTCTTCACACCTCTCATTCTCTCTTTCATTTTTCTGTTGTATATCTATATTTATTTAGTGTGTTTGCCATTAAGATTAACTCGTAAGTTTTTTTTTTGTTACTTTTTATGCCATTAACATTAACTCGTAACTTTATTTTGTGTTACTTTTTATGCCATTAACATTAACTCGTAAGTTTATTTTGTGTTACTTTTTATGCCATTAAAATTAACTCGTAAGTTTAGTTTGTGTTACTTTTTATGCCATTAAAATTAACTCGTAAGTTTATTTTGTGTTACTTTTTATTGTGATTTGTGATTTTTATGATATTAACTAAACTACGGTTTGTTTGTGTGCAGATGGCATTCCGTCAGTTAACGCTTGGCTCACGGTGGAATGGTTACATGGAAGAGACCGGAAAGGGGGCCACCTACGTCGGTGGCAATTTTCAGAAAATAGCGGTCGGTACCAGACCGAAGCTTGAAGACCTCCATCAAATATGCACTGACGTTACTTGCATGGATGGCACGAGGAGGGTAGATCGTATGGTGTACCGATACCCAAACAGAGCAATTGGGTCATTGTGGCATGAGGAATATACCATAACCACTCAAGATGACCTAGATTCCATGCTCGAATTCTTGAGGTCCAACAAATTGGCCAAAGCCGAGATGTTCGTTTACACCGAGCCAGCCGTTGGTGTTGGACGTCATTCTGGACACGGTCAAACATCTGGTATCCATGGTGGAGGTGAATTATATGACGATCATCCTGATAGACCGATAATTACACATGTTTTCACCCCTATTCTGAAGCCGTTTGTGATGTGGAATCTCGTGTTTTAAGCCGATTTCACGCTAGGTTGTGTGTTTATGTCATATTTCAGGACCCGGAGTTGGAATCGAGGCGGAGAAACGAGTTCTGGGTCGAAAGGAGCCGAGTTGGGACTAAGGGGGCTGCACGAGGAAAATACCCGGTCGGATGGCGAAATACCCGACCGGGTATTTATCGTTTTTGGCACCCGTGAGAAGCAGAAGGGGGCCCGGGCGATGGCCTTAAATCCCCGGGCGGGGATTTTGATGTTGGACCGGGGATTTTCCCCAAAGTGGAACGTCGCGTTTTATGAAATACCCGGTCGAACCCTGAAATACCCGACCGGGTATTTCGACCGGGGATCGCGGACGCAGGCTGTTAAAAGCCTGTTTTGTGCGTTTTTGAGGGGGAGAGCTGGGTTTTGGATCCCAAACACCCAAGGGACGAACCAAAAGAAAGAGAGGGCGATTTGAGGGCATTCTAAGAGTGGAATTGGAGGATTTCTTCGCCTTGGAAGCTCGAGGAACAAGCCCGGACTTGAAGACTGATCATCTGAAGATTCTTACTGCAGTCTCTCTCTTCTCTATGGAGTAACTTCCCTTCACTTAGGTTTTGAGGAACCCTAGCTATGTCTGTTTGATTGGATGATTGTATGAGTACTTTGACTTGATAATCTTGAGTTCATATTCAATCTATGCATGTTTTCACGATTCAATTCTGCTTTAGTCGAGATTATTGATTCTGCTTTGATCCTATGAGAGCGAATACCTGATTAGGTCAATAGAGCACCATAGATTGATAGTAGTGGATCTATTGCTTTAGTCGAGGGTTGATTCACTGCTTTGTATCGATTGAGAACCTCATTCGATAGAGGGAGTCTAGTTCAGAACGCCTTGATCGATTGTTCTAGAGAAGGATACGTCCCTCTAGGCAATTGACTCAAGAGGGCCTTGTTCCTTTAGTCGAGACTCAAGGTCTAGTCAAGGATTCTCCGCATTGTGAATGAAAGTGAAACAAGTTAGAGATCATCAATCGTTAATCTGGCTAGTGGCTAGGGGGAATCATACCTAAGTGAGTTCCCAACCTGTAATTAGATTAACTTTAACTGTAGTTTGTTAGAGTAGTTTTAGTTCTTTCATCTTAATCTGGTTTGCTAGATAATGAATTGAAGCTGAGTAATAGTAACTCTAGAGACCCGTGGATTCGATATTTATTACTTGAGCCACTATACTGCAGTCCCTTTCATTGGTTACACTTGGCCTTTGTTAGGAGTTGTGCCATAGCGAGTCAAGTTTTTGGCGCCGTTGCCGGGGAATTTCTAGATTATTAGGAAAGGCAGAAGTTTGTTACTTTAGCGTTTTTCTTTTGTTTTCCACCCTTACTTTTCACTTGGGTGTTTTTGTTTTTGTTGGTGCAGATCTGAATCATGGATC